GACGGCATTTGTTTTGCTATGGCTACATGAGTGGAAAGTTTATTATGATTAGGGATAATTAATGTCAATTAATGCAGTATCATGCGGAACCTGGTTCTAAACAACGTGGAAAACAAATATGGTTTTTTAACTGCACACACAAAAAAGATAACCAGAATTCTATGGGCATGTATGTAAACATTTGTCCATTGATTTATTAACTCATTCATTCATTTAGAAATCAGATATCTCGCTTCTAGTAACAGTGCTACATGTCAAGAACACTAAAATAAAAAAGGCAAGAAAGACACTTAAAGAATTCACAATTATTGTTTCTTTCCTGAAAACTATACTGACCTATGCATCTATAATTATTTCATCCCACCACACAAAATTATTTCTCATCTTGCTTTTATCCACTACTTCATTATTGTCATAGAAAATCTAGTCTCGGTATCCCAAACCCCAGATGACTTACCGTCCAGGGTACATGAGTCTGATGTCCATCTTTTGTGCCCCTTGACCCTTGCACCTCCCTCTCTCAGAGCTCCTCCTACATATAGACTCACCTTTCTGATAGATTAAAATCTAAGTTTATTCAGGGCAGTGGTTATATCTTATTTATCTTTTCCTGTTCCATTTACACAACATGTATGAATTACTAAAATAGTAACTCCTATTGGAATATACATAAAAGAGACAATTATAAACCAAATACTAAGTCTCACAATAAAGTAAGAAAGATTTTGGGGGGCGGGGGGTAAAGGGGTGTAAGGAGATCACCCGGGTCTGCCTGAAACAACTAAGTAGGCTGTGTGGGAGACAGACAAAGATACTCTCCTCAGATGCTGTGATGCTCAAGTTAAGACTTAACAGTTGATTCAGATATAGGCTGGCAGACAGATGGAAGAAACATTTTCACAGATGGCATCGTTATCCATGAACAGGAAGGGCTAAGAATGCATGATATAATCAGCAAATTATAAGTAAAAGTAGGAAAAACAGGATACAGAGCTGTTTTTATATAAAAGGTAGCTGGAATGATACTAGACACTAACCTAGGGGCTGTATCATGAGAGAGTGTCATGCCCGAAGTATGAGATTGATTCTGTGTATCTACTAGTGGAACTAGTAGTGTAGGGCAGATCTCCAGTCAACAAAAAAATAACAGCCTCACAGGTAGACTAGTAAGAAGCATGATGAAAACAAGAGAATCCAATCAAGGAAAGCATATAATGAAAGAAAAAGAAAGATGTGTCATTGGTGGCAAATGTCACAAATCAACAAAGACAAATGTGAAATGTGACAAGGAGACTGGTTAACTAATTAGTCATTGGTGACTTTAGTGAGAATAATCCTTGAGTTTTGAGAGTAGGATGCAGCTTAGAGAAGACGGAAGATTGAATGGAAGGCATAGGAGAAAATTATTTAAAATACTAGGTTAAAAATTGTTGAGGAAAGCTAACCAGAGGTGATCTGGTGTTGATGCAAGCTTTCTTAGTATCAAACGACTTTAGTGTGTTTATAGGAGTAAAGGGAAAGTGTCAGTAGAAAAAAAAAAAAAAGCTGAAAATAGAGTAGACAGATAGGATAATTTATCAAGCAGGGCATTGAGGGAGACAGCATTTAAAGCAAAGTGGAAGAATGATTTTTTTTGGACAGGAGGGAGGACAAGTTTTCCACTGAGACTAGGATAAAAGACCAAAAGACAGGTGCAAACGTAGATAAGTGTGTAGGAAAGGCATTGATAGATTCTCTTTTCTCCATGAAATAAGAGGCAAGCGTTGCCAAGGAGGACAGAGGAAGAAGTAAGTAAGCTTTAGAAGTAAGTAAGCATTAAGGGATAATGGTGGAGAAGAATAAATGCAGCAAAAGCAAGAAAGACACAGGTTAGAGCAAATGAAAGAATTATCAGTCTATGCACTGCGGTCTCAGCCAACAGGAGGGTGCTGCACATGTGGGTGGCACCAGGTCACCTGGTGCTGGGCTTTTCTCCAACAGCATTAGGGAGACTGAGTTTGGAGTACTGAAAACTTGAATTAACACTCAGATGAGAGTGGCTAGAGTAGAGATAAAAAGGGGAGGAAAGCATGCAGAAAGAAGTGTGATTAATGAAAAGCAAACAGTTCGGACAGTTCATGTAATTTATTGCCTACTGGTCTACACGAATATTAAAAGTTGCACTATTACTAAACTGTCATGGCAGTAATGTAAATAGTAAGAATTCAAGTGAAGGTTATAACATATTTAAAAATGGAGTATTAGTAAAGGACAAATTGATGTTGATTATGTAATTGAAATGGTGTGGCTAAAATAAAGGTGTAAAAAAAAACTGAAATAAAAGAGTTAGAGATATTGGCTTTTAATTTTAGAAAAAGAACAACCCCTGAAGTTGACAATACAGGTAATAAGGGAATCAAGACATTTGGGGGCAAATGTATTTAAGTTAGTCATCCACATGATAAACCAGTGTACAAAGAATAGGATGTCAGGTGCATGGTCTTCAAAGTTCAAGACTGTGTAGTTGGCAAACAAAGATAGCAGGAAGAATGGCGAGATGTTGGATCAACATAAGTGAGAGAGAGTCAGGGAACGAGAAGGATAAACTTACAGTAATTCAAGAGAAAAGCCACCATAATTATCTGCAGAAACCCAAGAAAAGATGCCTGTACAAACATCACAGAGAAAACAACCAGCCAAATAAGATTCTTCCATTTCCTTCTTCTTTGCACTGTATTCATTATTGAAGTAAAATCAGTAGCTATTGCTTTTCTAATGAAGTTAGCTTTAAAAGCACAGAACCTCCTTACTCCAGGAGGTTACACATCTGTTTCAATTAGGACATTGCTTCTTACTTGTGCTTAGCTTTTTCTTCTGTGTAAAATGCAAATGATATTTTAATCTTCTTTCTAGGGTTATATATGTTAAAGGAGTTTATTTGAGTTAAGGCACCTAGAAGAGATTTGTATAGTACTGTATAGGAACTGGCATTTGCCATTATCCCACCAACGTGATCATCATCATCACGTGTTAATAAAAGTTGAGTGTGGAGTTTAAATTCTTCTCTCTATAACCTGCCTAAACTTGTTATGTGCAATTTTATTTGATTTGGCTAAGAATAACCAGCCATTGTAAATAGATCATATACTACAGCACAAGTCTTCTCTACTGATGTACGTTTCTAGAGATTTGGTTGTCCATGTTATCCCTGGAGGGAGAAGGAAACACCCTTACAATTGGAACTTTCTCCTAGAAACACAAAAGGGTTACTTCTACTTGAGTTTTCAGAGCCATTACTATGACGTTCTTGTCTTTCATTAAATAGTGTCTAAGTTGGTTTAGGCAAGCAATTGAATAAGTATGACCCTTGATCTTAATCACAACTTGGTTAAGCTAATGTAAGCTTAAGTTCAAGGATACCCAACTATTAAAGTGTTTCTTTTTGGGGATCCAGTTTCAATAAATCCTTTCCATTCTTGGTCACAGAATGCAAATGTGTATGAGTCCTGTGTGACTTCTGGGAATCACTTAGCTTATGGACGGACAATTGTTCTTTGGCCTTCTGGGAGGAATTCAGCTATGCACTTGAATTTCCTTGTTGAGGGGCAGGCACAGGGAGATCCCCGTGTAAACATCTACAGTTCTTTCTCAACATATCTCTTTTCTATTCTTTCTCTGAAATTATTTTACAACTACTGTCTGATCTTCTATCTATGTATAAAATATTAGCAATGAGTTATGTTTGGGTTTTCCTTAAAAGGCTGACCATAGAAATTTGTAAGAAATTTAAAATGAGAGTAGGAATAACAGGTTATCTTTGTAAAGGCATCATAATCTTGAGCTACCTGTTGTATAACTTCTGAATAGCTATTCCACATATATTTTTCTAATTGAATGAGGAGACAATTGTAGTACTAGTTACTCTGACATTGTTAGAAGTGAAAGTTTCTCTTTTGTGTTCCCTTTAATTATTTATAATATTACCCAAATCTAGGACCTTCCCTGGTGGTGCAGCGGGTTAAAGCACAGCACTAAGAAGCTAAAGCCACTTCAGCATGAGTTCAATCCCCGCCTGCCCCTGAGGAGATCCACATGGCGTGGCAGACCTCTCCTGGCCCGCCCGCTGCTCCCCTCAGCAGTGAACTTTGTCGTTTCTGCCTGTTCTGCTCCCCACTCTGTTTCTGGTGGATCCTCTTATTCCCCACATTTCTGGCCTGTATCCCAGTTCTGTTTGCAAAAATAAATAAATCTTTAAAATAAAAATTACCCAAATCTAGGGCCACTTAACCAATCTTCAAGTCATTTATATATCTAACTACTGAGCCTTCTGTTTCTTTCTAACCATAGCCACGGCTTTATCAACAGTACCATTTTCTCAAAGCCTGTTTTTTTCCTGAGGCATCTGTCCATGTGCACATCTGTACACATACATCAATAAGTTCATTAGGGCTACTATGTAAGAAAATAGATAGCTCATACCAGAACCATAAAGCATAAATGCTTATGAAAAAATGCTTCGGTAAAATAAATTCAGAAAAGAACTTCACCAATGGGAACCCCTTCTTCCCAAGCATGAAATTCAAGGTACGTGACCTCCAATAAGTCATGGGTGCTGAAGAATTACAGTGGTGATCAGACCCATATTTGGCATGACTAGATCTGCCAGAAGGTCACAGACTTAGAAGACAAAAGTGTAAGTTAATGGCGTGCATGAGACAAAAGATACATAAACTTGTTAGGAGCAAAGAATCATGTTTATTTGCAAATGATCACAATACAGAAATATGAAATACGATTTTAGAGTTTTGTACTTGATCTATGACTTCAGTGATGCTTCCTGCTTTCCAGATATGTGATAGAGTAACTCAGGTTTCTCAACTAGCTGGATTTTCAAGAAGATAATGAGTTTTCTGCAGGTTCTTAGTATTCTCTCTCACTGAGTTCAATTGCAATCATAAGTCATAAAGAGAAAATGCCTTGGAGTGATCTTTTTAGAAGAAAACATGCACTGTGGTGATGTTCTAGCAGCAAGAAGAATAGCAACTTCTGTAGACAAAGGGCCGGTAGCTATAGCAGGAAGAGCCATATCCAGAACCATAGCCACAGCCATATCCAGAACCGTAGCCACAGCCATATCCGGAGCCATAGCCACAGCCATAGCGGGAGCCATAGCCACAGCCATATCCGGAGCCATAGCCACAGCCATATCCAGAACCATAGCCAAGACCACAGCCATATCCAGAGCCATAGCCACAGCCATATCCGGAGCCGTAGCCACAGCCATATCCAGAACCGTAGCCACAGCTACCACACGAGTTTCTGTAGTAGTTGCAACACATGATGCCTACAGGTGAGGGTTCAGTGGTTCAACTGAGGAGCTAGTGATGGTTTCTGAAGTTTGAATGCCATTTCTTGCCCCGGCACCTTTTTATATACACCAGGAATGGGTGGAGCATGTAATCTAGAATCCACGTCCTCATTAAAGACCAATTTTCATTTTTAAAAAGCTCATCATTCTAAGGACAGCAAAAATTTTTTTTAAGTTGGTCATGTTCAGGATTTGGGCATAAGCAGTCAAGAGAATTGTAAGAAAGCAATGTGAGTTAAACATTAAGCAAGTTAAGAAGGGATCTGATCAAACCTTATTTAAATTTTACTTTGGGGAACATCAGCTCCTGTGCATCACCAGGTACACATACAGGCACCTAAGGAGAAGCCCCAGCATCTCAGATCTCAGTACTGACCAAAATGCATCTATCTGAGGTGATGACATATTGGAGGACCCTAAAGTGAAGGATTCTCAAGTTCCATCTGTAAGACAGCACATTTAGCCCAGGCAGAATGGCCGCTGTAGTGGTGGTGGCTGAACAAGGGACAGGGGCAAAGACCTTAACTGATGGATCAACTGTGTCTTTTGCTACTATTTTCTTCCATTAGTGGCCTGTCTTCTCATCTTCTTGGTTAAAATGAATTAAAATGTAAGATAGATATAACTGAATTTCAGATTAAAAAAATAAAGCTTTTCAGTACACAAATGTCTCGTGCAATCTTGGATATGTCACTACTAAGTCTGGCAACTCAAGTTCCAGGGCAAAGGGACTTTGCAGGTGTCCTGGATGAAAGCTCAATTACAGTATTTTGAGTGTGGTCCACAGCAGATCCTGGTTAGGTTGTCCTTAGACTCCTGGTTCACTAAGTCTGTGAGATAATGAGTGTTAGTCTGAGTTATTTTTGTTTGTTGTTTGTCTTTGGTAATTTACCACATGCTTCCTCTGGCATTTTTTAAACTATCTGGTAAGAAATATGTTGAACTGGATGACCTGGGGATTGTATCTATCTTTTGGCACAGGTTGGGAGACCCTCATCATCTCAATAGATATCAAGGCCAGATTACTATGGGGTGAAAAGTGGAAGGGTGAGAGGCCACCTTCTGTCAGCCATACTGGATGGGGCTGGCTGTGAATAAATCCTTGAGATACATTTGTTTAGGGACTAAAAGAGGTTCTGAAGCATGTAGATCTTTTATAAGAGAGTAATTTCACAAAGAAATGAATCCCCATAGGAAATAATGAATTTCCTGTTTAAAGAAAAAAAAGCATTCAAGCATTGAGTGACTACAAAGGGACACTTTATGTAGCATATACAAAAGAACAGTTGGTCTTGGTAATGAGAAATAACTAATCTTGGTAATCTGTTACCTGTGCAGATTTCAGTATGATCCCAAAACATATATCTCAACTTCCATATTATAAATTCCTTCTCAACACCTTTATTAAGATCAAATAGATTAAAATGTATCAGGAAATTTGTGACATAAAACACTAAGTACTTGCTGTTAAGTATTTTAGTGTTGTTTTTCTGGTTTGAACAAAATGACTAACTAGAATTGATATAATGTGTTGATGAAGAACTCAATTGGGGAAAAACATATTATCAGGATATTACATTATAGGTATTTAGATTCATAGGAGTCTATAACATATCAAGCATTCTCTGCAGAGGACAGCACTGCATGCCACCAAAGTCTCCTACCAAGTAATGAGTAGTTGGTAAGCTAGTCAATGTAATTAGTCAAGCTCATTTTAATGGGTGCATTCCCCAAAATGAAGAACCCTACCCTCCACAGGAACTCATTCCATAAAACATTATCTGTGCAATCATATGTTCAAATGACTGGATAATTGATGAAAACTTTCCTAAGAGATTTGTAATTGGCCCAAGACAATGTCCAGGTGACCAACCATCTACTGGGTGCCTCAACAAAGCTTCTGGTGCAATATTAGTACATTTATTTCAGACAGCTGCTACGGCTATAAAGACAAAGTTTTCTCATTATCAGCTGACAGCAGTGACTTGTACACACTAGATATTAAAATTAATATGTGTTACATCAATCACAAAATTCATGTTATTGATGAAATTATGTCCAGACCCATTTCCAGAAGACAGATGAAGAGGGAGCACATTCTAACTTATTCCATGTGGCCAGCATTATTCTACTACCAAAATACATAGTAATGATAAAAAAAAAAGGGCAAACTATAAGCTATATCCTAAATGAACATGGCTGTAAAATTTATCAAACAAATACCAGTTCATAAAGACTCCAGAGTAGTGAGTGACATTCCAGCTTCAGAATTTTCCTGCACCTCAGCTGACATCTTGCCCTTGACACCACGTGTTGTGACTATAGCAGGGATTTGATTGGGGAGAGCAAATGGAAATGGTCCTCATGATGTCTGAGGACATGAATGTATGGCTATGGCTGATGTCCATTTTTGTTAGAGAAGATGCCATTTATCTTGCTGCTAGAACATTCCATGCCTCTGAAACAGTGTTTCAAATTTTATACTTTTTTTTTAAGATTTATTTATTTATACAGAACCGGGGTACAGGCCAGAAATGCAGAGGGTGAGAGGATTCACCAGAGACAGAGTGGGGAGCAGAACAGGCAGATCCATGAAGTACACTGCTGAGGGGAGCAGTGGGCGGGTCAGGAGAGGAGAGGTCTGCCGCGCTATGTGGATCTCCTCTGGGGCAGGTGGGGATCGAACTCATACGGAATTGGCTTTGGCTTCCTAGTGCAGTGCTTTAACCCGCTGTGCCACCAGGGAGGACCTCAAATTTTATACTTTTACCCCAGAGGATACACCATTTTGTTATATCTATAATTAAATAAGAGATAATGCGTGTGCTTACATCAAAGAACCTATTTGTTTTTGAGGGATGATAAATGCATCCATTGCATTACCTGAAGACAGAGTATTTTATTCTACTTATGTTCAAAATTAACTGCTTGGTTCTTCTATTTTATGATTTTATATGTCCTGTGAGCACAAATACTTCATAGTTGGAAGAAATATACAAGAAATATATAAACAGATTTCCTTTGTTCCTACAAATAAATGTGTCTACTAACTAACATTCCTGAGCCTTCCTGGGAAACTGCACAATTACCATTGAGACTTAAGAGTATGTATTTCCTCCTCCGGTGTTTATTAAGTATCCCTTCTTTCACCAGCATTGCATTGTTTCACTTACTAGAGGGCTATAGAAAATGTTTCCATAAGGTAGTTTGAGACATTAATTTTGCTCTTCTTTGAAATTATTGTGGCTATTTTTTTTTTTTGCTTTTCATCTAAATGTTAGAATCAGTTTGTCAATATCTACAAATACATTCTGCTGAGATTTTAATTGGGAGTCAGTTAAATCTTTCATTCAATTTTGGAAAAAATGGACCTCTCAGCATTATTTAGTTTTCTAATGTATGAGCATGATATATCACTGAAAAAGTTAGGTCTTTTTGGTGACCTCTTGTGAAATATTAAACAAGATTAATTACTTTGTACTCATGAGGGCATATCCTAGTGGAGAAGGCAGGCACAAGATTAAAAAAAAAAAAACAGCAACAACAACAAATATTTAAGTAACTAAATAGAAATGAGTAAATAAGCAGAATTATAAACAATTTTATAATTATTAGAAACCAGTGACTTGTTAGAAAGCTATTATATGGACGATAAGAGATGCTGAATCAATAACTAATTTTGTAAAACAGACAGCAGCAGACCAAGATGAATTCACTGGCAATTTTTACAAAATATTTAAAGCAAGCTTTGCCAATGATCTATAACCATTTCCAGAAGATACACAAAGAGGGAGCACATTCTAACTTATTCTCTGTGGCCAACATTATCCTAATACTGAAATCACATAGTAATGATAAAAAGGTGAACTATAAGCAATATCCTAAGTGAGCATGGCTGTAAAATTTCTCAACTAACTATTAATAGATTTTATTCAACATGTAAGAAAAATTATACGCTGTGATCAAGTGGGATTTTCCCCAGTAACACAGGCTAGTTCAAAAATCAATTAATAGGGTCCTCCCTAGTGGCGTAGCGGGTTAAAGTGCAGCACTAAGAAGCTTAAGCCACTTCCACATGAGTTCGATTCCCGCCTGCCCCGGAGGAAATTCACATAGAGTGGCAGACTTCTCCTGGCCCGCCCGCTGCTCCCCTCAGCAGTGTACTTCGTCGATCTGCCTGTTCTGCTCCCCGCTCTATCTCTGGTGAATCCTCTCACCCTCGGCATCTCTGGCCTGTACCCCAGTTCTGTATGAATAAATAAATCTTTAAAATAATCAATTAATACAGCACACCAACAGTCTACAGAAGAAAAAAAGTTATTATACTCATCACCAAAGAATCCACAGTCAATTTCTGCAGTTTCTCATTCCCCCTCCCCAATTCACTCCAGTCCTTCCCTCACAAAAGAGGTTTTGCCTGCTTGTTTACAGGAAGTCTGCAGTTGATCATCTACAAGTGCAATCTCTGGCAGACCCTTATCATTGCTAGACCTACTATAGTCAAGGTAGTAGATGAAAGATTACTAATTATTGTTTATTTCTATTTGATTGTACTTGTGATTACTATTAACTATTAATCAATTACAATATTAATGGCCAACAGTAAAAAAAGATGAGATATCACCACTAGGCGCATCACTGAAAGCTAAGCCACCAAGATTCAGCATTCCTATTGTTCAGACATGTTTCACATGATGTTATTCTATCTATGGCACCACTTTTGTAAATGGTAACAGGGATTCTGCCAGAAGATGACCAAAGTCAGGCACTTTCAAAAGAGTCACAGACAGAGACCTCAGAGTGAGGTAATGTTGCTGTGAAAATAAATCTCTGGTTATTGGACAAATCAACAAGCTGCTTAGGAGGATTCTTATCTGAAAGCAAAAGGGAGGCAGAATATATCAGAGAGAGGTGCAAACACGGCTTTCCAGAGGCATCTGTTTCATGTAGATTATCAGAGCAAAGAAAATCCAAGTACACAGAACCTTTGATGGACAATAGTCCAATGTATGAATTTTCCTAAAATGAGATTTGCATTCAGTGGAGGCCTCAGCTCTCCTACAGAAGCACATTCAAGACTTTTAAACTGACACTCACTGGAAAAACCATTCACTGTGATGTGTGTTTTGCCACATCAGTACCATATCTCCAAATGTAGTCATTTCTTTCTGTGTCTCTCAGTGTCTCTGACCTTGTCTCTCTCTGTTACACTGTCTCTCTTTTCTTCTCTCTCTCTTATATGGCAATAAAGGAAGATGCAAACAATGGAATGAAATGAAGAGATATGATGATGAGCAGTACATATTGTGAAAGTTATTAGCTTTATTGAAAAGCAAAATTAGCTATTTTCCCTCATGAAAAGTGTTCAACTTGAATGTGTACAAATATGAGAGTAACAAAATATCAAAGGATTTGTCCTTGGTTGCTGAGAAATTCCATCAGTCAATGCAATTACAACCCATAGTCATCAAAGGTTAGATTATGTCTAATTTGAACAGACAATGACAATATTTCCATAGCATTTCCAGAGTGCCAATTCCAGTCTCTTTATGGAAATCTTTACAATGATATGATAAAAATCCAACTGCTAATAATGTCCTATCAAGAACATTGAATAAAATATCATCACAATAATGTGTTTGCATACTTTGTTGATAATAATAAACCTACAAGGGTAAACGCTAATCAAGAAATACTTTAGTGACTAAAAGATTGTTCCTCTATTAATTTGATTATACAAAACTTTGTTTTCTTAATTCTTATCAAATCAGTTGACATGATGACAGAAAAATATTGTGTTCTCGCAATTCTGACATGAGAGGGCTGATTAAAATACACAGAATCTCCCAAATTCCCTTCCATACTTTAATCTCATCACTGTAACGTAAGTCTCCATTGAGCCCCACTATTTAACTCTGTGCAGACATGAGAGCTAAAAAATATAAAGAAACTGGATAAAGTGTCAACAAACTAAAAAATTAGCCTTTGAGGGCCCTGCCTGGTGACACAACCAGTTAAAGTGCAGCACGATGAAGCTCTCCACAGCCACTGCAGCACAAGTTCAATCCCCGGGCAGGGAAGTGACCCATATGGCATGGAAGATTTCTCCTGACCTGCCCACTGCCCTCAGCAGTGTATTTCACTCCATCTGCCTGGTCTGCTCCCACTCTGTCTCTGTTTCGCCCCCAGCACCTCTGGCCTGTACCCCAGATCTACATGCATAAATAAATAAATCTTTAACAAAGATCAGCCTTTGAAAGCAGACTGTAGAGCTGAGACATTCAGAATTCAAGGGGGAAAGAGATGAGGTAGCACACAGAGGGAGAGGGGAGCATAATGGACTATGGGGGTGTACTGTGGGTGCTTTTTTTTTGTTATTGTGGGAACGTCACTGGAAGCATAAATTCCAAAACAACAATATAAACCAATGCTATCTTGATGAAACAATAAATAAAAAATTTTTCTTTCTCTCCCTATTTCTCTCTACATAAACACACAAACACATCTATTTTTCTTTATATCTATCTATCTATCTATCTATCTATCTATCTATCTATCTATCTATCTATCTATCTATCTATGTCTATCTCTGACTGTTTACCTGTTTATTTATCTATGCATGTGGAACTAGGAAAGACTAGGAAAGCTCCAACCTTCTATAGGCATGAAAATGACTGATAAATTATTATTGAAACAAACAAAAATCTTAGAAGGGAGCAAAATTTGGGGCAGTGGGAAAAAACATGATTTGTAGTAGAGTCATTCCATGGAGACTATTGAAAATGCTCCTTGCTATATGATATCTGATTATAGATTATTAGAGTGAAGATTTGTATTGAAAAATAGCTTTGAAAATGTTACTGTGCTATTTTACTAAAGGGCTTTCATTGGTTAAGCAAGCCTGCTCAGTGCCCACAGGCAGCTGCACCTGTCTTGAAACAACACACAATTAAATTAGTCATAAAATGAGCCAATGATATGAGCACATGTGGTGAGTCCCACCCATATTAGGTGCTATAAAAGGCCCTGTGTAGGGAGAAATGTTCACACTGCAGTGACACTTCTACCCTCCTTCTTTACCCAGAGACAACCTCAACCACCAGCACCATGTGTGGCAACTACTACGGAAACTACTACAGAGGCCTGGGCTATGGCTGCTGTGGCTACAGAGGCCTGGGCTACGGCTACGGAGGCCTGGGCTGTGGCTACAGAGGCCTGGGCTATGGCTACGGAGGCCTGGGCTATGGCTACGGAGGCCTGGGCTATGGCTACGGAGGCCTGGGCTATGGCTACGGAGGCCTGGGCTGTGGCTACAGAGGCCTGGGCTGTGGCTATGGCTGTGGCTATGGCTATTACTATTGAGGACTCCATGGAGGCTCTCATGTTCTACATCTGGACATCAGGAGTCCCCAATTTCAAATCCCATATGTCTGGATCTTGATGATGCCCTGACTTCTGCATCTGATACAACTTTTCCCTTTCCTCTATTTAACTCAAATTGAGCATGGATGAAATTCATCCATGAACTAAGAGTTCTACTTCCATAAGGACTAGGGTGTCACAGAAACTGCCTCGATAACATTTGCGCTTGACTTGTTTCTTTATCCACCTAATAAACTTGTTCAATCCAAAAAGCAACACTGGTTTCTCTTGTTTGGTAATTTGTGTATATAAAGAAAAATTTCCTGTTAGTCTATACTATGACATTTATTGGCATGGTATCCACTATAATGTCCACTTATATCTGTAGGATCTAAATGAAATTGATTCTTTCATTTCTCATTTTGGTGATTTGTATTCTTTCTTTTTATATTCTCGACCAACCTGATTAAGCTGTATCAATATTATTAATTCACTTTAAGTATCATTCATGATCAGTATAGTGTCTACTTCCTATTTTGATACTTACAAGTCCCTGAAACAGGACCCTCTCTGGTGGCTCAGTGGGTTAAAACACAGCACTAAGAGGCTAAAGCCACTTCAGCATGATTTCGATCCCCATCCTGGAGGTGACCACATGGCGCAGCAGACCTCTCCTGATCCACCCACTGCTCCCCTCAGCAGTGTGCATTGTCAGTCGGCCTGTTCTGCTCCCCATTCCATCTCTGGTGAATCCTCTCACCGCCCCTGCACCCCTGGCCTATATCCCAGTTCTATATACATAAATAAGTAAATCTTTAAAAAAAAAAAAAGTCCCTGAAAAAGACCTTATATTCTATTTTTATGACAAAGTGAGAATGACATGAAAGATAGTCATTACAGTTACAATGTATAATATGAGTCAAGAACATATTGTTAATTCATGAAAAATATCAAGTATCATGGATGAAATATTAAAGAGGAAGGATACCACTTTGCCAATATCTTTAGTCAAATGTTAGATATACCTAAACAAAAAAATACACATGAAACTTTGATTAGAGTAAGGTAGATATTCATGTCCCTTGAATCTGCTCATGCAAACAAATATTACAGTAGCTGAAAATAACATTTCAACCATACATATAAATTGTCAACTACAGATAGTTAATCAACAAGAATACACACATGTACACACACACAAAACCCACACAAAGCAGCTAAATAACTACACATAGATTATCTTTAATTAATGATTTTTTTCACATTTTTCCAAATGTATTCAAATATAACAGTAAAGCATGATCAATTTTTTTTTTGTAATTGTTGGAAACTCAGGTCATTTCATTTAACAGGTTCTGATGTCACATGGTAGTCTAAGATTTGGCTGTCATTGTTTAAACAGATGATAACATGATTATTATAAATAATGCAGTAAGGGCATATAGTTTTCATAAGAGAATGTCCTGAACATATTAACAATGGTGATTTGCTCAGAAGCCAGAAGACCAGTATCTCCCATAGCATCATGGACAGAAACAAACATGTATAGCCTTCATAACACCAGCCACTTCCCGGGCCACAATAATAGCCCAGGCTACAGCCCAGGCCACCATAATAGAAGCTGTGTAAGCTCTATGTGTCAAGAGTTGAAGACCGGGTTGAAGAACACAGTCAACTTTTTAGCATTTATGTTTATAATCTATACCAGGACTTAATAGCAACTGATTGATATGTGAGACAAATCACAAGCACTGTGAGATTTGTGTTCCAAACTATTTGACATGAAAGCCATCTTAAAATTTCTTCATAATTAGAGCCCTCCCTCTTGGTGCAATGGGTTGAAGCACCACATTGTGAAGCTCTCTGAAGCCACTGCAGCATGAGTTCGATCCCCGGCCAGAGAGCTGACCCACATCATGACAAACCTTTCCTGATCCACGCACTGCTCCTCTCAGCAGTGTACTTTGTCCATCTTCCTGTTCTGCTCCCCACTCTGTCTCTGGTGAATCCTCTCACCTACCACACCTCTGGTTTGTACCCCAGTTCTGTAAGCATAAATAAATAAATCTTAAAAAAAACTCTTCATCATCTAACTGTATTACCAGTTTTCATGAGCTAGAGAATCTATATAGGTTTTACTTCTTGATAATAATTTTTTTAATAATATCCTCTTTCCTATCTGCTTATATGTAGCTTTAGAAACAAAAGTGCAGACTCAAAGAAGTATGTAGAAGGCTGGAAAGGGAGCAGAGGAGAAGAAATGATGTTATGAATAATGTGTTTTATTGTTTTGTGAGACAATATTATTCACTTTCTCCTATTCTTTACATTTATATGCATCATCATCTTGTATATGATGAAAAGCCATAGTAGATTCCTGGAAATTTAAGTCCATAGAAGATAGCAATATATAAATACAAGAAGTTATCCTACTAGTAATTTAAATTTAGTATCTATCAGAAGTTCCTAAAGAATGGACCTATATGATATAGGCATAACAAAATATGCATGTCTTTCCTAACATTCTTCCCCAAAATGTATAACTCTATTTTGTTAGGAAAAAATATGATACATTTAGATTAAGGGCCATGTCATGCTTGGACCTTGAAAATTGTCAATGTCATAAAAGTTATGGAAATACTGAGAAGTTCTCACTAACTGGTGGGTACTGATGAGATGAGGCAGCCAAATACCATGTGGAATCTTGGATTGGATCCTGGAAGGAAAAAAGGAAAGAAGTCGAAAAATGGTGACATCCAAGTTATGTCTATAGATTAGTTCAGGATATTTTACAAGGTTAATTTCTTCGTTTAGATAATTGTAGTTTTTTTTATAAATGACATTCACATAAGTATATTCATGACATACACTGAAGGAAGTGTATAGGGTAACATTTTACATCATGTCTGAACTTTAGGTAACTCAAATTATTTCAAAACAAAGTTGAGAAGAAGAATTGAAATATTAGTTGATTGTTTTGTTTTGGTTTTCATTTGTAGAATTTTCACATATTAACCTTTCAATATCTATATGAAGGATACTGTTATGAGCTCTAGAATGGAGAAATGAACAAAACAGAAATGATCTCTACTTTTAGGGAGTTTCTTATATTCTAATTGAGTAAGGGGAGGAAGGGTAGACATATGAAAGTAAATAATAAAAATGGATGAGAACATTTCTGATAGCGATTAAGCTATTTTAAAATATCGATGCACTAGGTTTATTTTCCACTTAAAGTTTCTGCCTTTGAGATGCCATCTAAAAGACAGGGCAACATCTAGAACCTTCTCTATGCTGTCTCAGAGAAATTGTCCCTAGATCCCAGTGTGAAGTAGTGTCTACCTAGCATTTTTTTAATTTGTCATAGCTCACCTCACTAAGGCTTAGAAGATATATTAAATACAAATACTGGATGTTCAGATAAATTTGATTTCCAAATCAACTTTTTTTTTATGTATCAGCATATCTCATCCAATATTTGTGAACTGCAGTATTTTGATATTCAAATTTCACTGGGCACCCAGAAAAATCTAGCAAACTTAGTGAGGAAAAGCATAAAAGGATTATTCCCTGAGAGTATTCTGATGTAATTTATGCCTGGTATGCTTTTTACAGGTCAAAAAAAAAAAGGGGGGGGGGCTATGGTGTATGAAGAATAAATGAAATGAATTTGATCCTGTTAAATTTTTATGACCATTAATGAATTAAGGAGATAGAATGTTAAGTGGTGAGAGAGAGAGAGAGAGAGAGAGAGGTCAGACTTAGAAGTAGAAATGTGAAATGAGATCCAAAGTAATTCATCTAGAGAATAAACAGAATTGGACTTTCAATAGTGAACTTGGTGTAAATGTTGTGTGTGTGTATATATATATTCTCAATGATGCACTCCTAACACTTATATAATGTTGAAATCCAATTTCACATCATTGAAAAATAAATAAATTCAAAGAGATGGTTTAAGAGGGGTAGAATAGCATCCTAATATTGGAGAACAAAATCTGAAAGAAATGGAAAAAGAAGAACTACACAGAAGAAGCAACTGGTGAGTTCAGAATTCAAATAATGTTTGAAGTGGGATGGAGGCAAGGGCTAGAAAGACTTTCAGGAGTGAAGAGAGAAGATGAGGTTCTCACTGCTACTCAGAGCCTTAGTCCAGAGAAGATGGAATGTCCAGATATGCTAAGAATGGAGTTTTAGTAGAGTGGTGGGGATCACAGACTAAAAAGAAAAGAAAGTTACTATGAAAATACATATTCTGTGATGAAATAAAAGAAAATGAAGTATTAGATGGAGAGGGGTGAGGAACCAATTTTTGTTTTTGTTTTGTGTACTTAAGAATTGAACATAGTTCATAAATTCACACCTCCAAAACTAAGCATTTCATTGGCTTCAATGTTTTCACTGCCAGGATAGAAAGATGAACTCATCTTCAGACGAAAAACAAACTGCAGGAAATAAGACCTAGAGGGAACTATTCTATGGAGAACTCACACATGTTATTAGAGACATTGTTTTACACAAAATAATGATGTGTTTGTAGCTACTTTAATCAAATACCAAAAAAAAGCCCAAGTTAATGATACTTTTTAATTGACTGATGCTACTGAGTCATACCAATTTCAGGTGATATTTTATGAACTTATCCTAGAGGAAGACCGGTCATCATGTTATTTAAATTAGGTTTTACTGAAAAATTATTCTAGTTATTTCTTGATTGACTCAGCAGTATGACAGTGGAGACTACTGTTATTTTTCTGGATGGCAAAGGTAAGAAAGATATAATCCTAATGTTGTTATCTAGCAAAAAGGGAATGAAGTTCAATAAAAATATATATTTGTAAAAATTGAACCTATGAAACAAATATGGAAAAAACACACCAAACACCTATTAGTTGAATAAATGAATGGCATGTATATCGTTTATACTATTAAAATATTATTTTATTAAGATGTCCTTTTTCTTATTACACACACATGTATTAAAACAGATGAGTTGGAAAAATTTAGAAGTCTTGGGTCTTCATTCCTATGCCCTGTAGGAAAAAAGTTGACTAAAACACAGTGTTATTCAATATTTATATTCTCTGTCCCCACCAAAGGCTCTGAGAGATAAAGAGAGATGTTTTGACTCAGAAATATTAGGTTCACAGAAATATGATAGATTACACATGAAGTAATGTGAAACTACTTCACTTTTTTTTTTTCTGGTGTCTGCCAGTAGGATAGATTAGCACACTAATTGTTGTTATTGCTTACATCTTCTTTTTTAATTAATGCCCCCAAATAGATGACAAATCAAGAAGATGTGGTACATATATACACAATGGAATATTACTCCACAATCAAACAGATAAATTTATGCCATTTGCAGCAACATGGGTGGAGCTAGAAGGGATTATGCTCAGTGAAATAAGTCAGAAGGAAAAAGAAAACTATCAGATGGTTTCACTTATAGGAGGAATGCAGGAGTAACAAATAAGACATTAACAAAAAAAAAAATAATAAAAAACACAACTGGTCCCTTCCTGGTGGTGCAGCTGGTTAAAGTGCAGCACTGAGAAGCTAAAGCTTCTGAGTGCAATCCCCACCCGCCCCAGAGGTGACCCACATGGTGCAGCAGACCTCTCCTGACCCGCCCGCTGCTCCCCTCAGCTGTGTACTTCATCAATTTGCCTGTTCTGCTCCCCACTCTGTCTCTGGTGAATCCTCTCACCGCCCCTGCACCTCTGGCCTGTACCCGTGTTCTTTATGCATAAATAAATATTAAAACACAAACACACACACAGAACAAAGCAAAACAAAAACAGACAACTGTAAATCTGAGACATTCTTCAGAGGAGGGTGGGCGAAGGATGGAAATAAGGAAAGGAAGAGCATAAGGCACTGTGGTGATGATGTATGAGTGAACTGGTGGTAGATATTCTATGGGAACTACACCTGAAAAAAGAAAGCAAACATCGCTTAAAAATGAGCATTGATGGGCCCTCCCTGGTGGCGCAGCGGGTTAAAGCACAGCACTGAGAAGCTTGAGTCACTTCCGCATGAGTTCGATTCCCGCCTGCCCCAGAGGAGATCCACATGGTGCGGCAGACCTCTCCTGACACGCCCGCTGTTCCCCTCAGCAGTGTACTTCGTCCATCTGCCTGTTCTGCTCCCCACTCTCTCTCTGGTGAATCCTCTCACCCTCCGCATCTCTGGCCTGTGCCCCAGTTCTATATGAATAAGTAGATAAATCTTTAAAAAAAATGAGCAATGATGTAAAATATATTAAAATAAATAATGTGGGAGGCAACATCTCAAAAAAAGAAAGTTTTGAAAAGGAGAACTGATGGATGATGGTAAGCTTACTATATCCTTTATTAGAATATAATTTTGATATTAATTAAACAACTAACAAAAGTATATCACAATATACTCAATTTGGTCAAAAAAAATCTTAGAAATTCAAGGAAAAATTTTGTAGTCTTTTGGTAGGAAGACTGAACATAAATGGGAAGTAGACTCACTGAGTAAGTAGAAAAGTGCAATGCATTTTTCTCAGATTCACTTTTTTTAGACATTTTAATTGAACTCTGATTAGCATCATGGGGAGGAAAGATACAGTTTTGGTAGACATTTGTGAAAATAATTAATTTGGGTGAAGAGAAGAAGAAAGTCATTAGTCAATAAAAGTATATATTTATGAAATGCTAAAAAAAGAAAAAGCAAAACTAACTACTAACTGGCCCAAGAGTAAATAAGATGGAACCTGGAAAATGTATTCTTTTTGGACATAAGAGATGAGTATAAAAGGTTCAAATAAAAGCCCAGATGAGACAGGTTTGTGTGATTGTGAGTGTCTGGGCGTCTCCTGTCATTCAAGCCCTCAACTGAATAAAAGGAGTCTAAACTAGAGGTCAAAAACAAGTCTCCTATATTTCACAACAAACTAATTAAATTAGTCATAAAATGAGACAATGACATGACACGTGGTGGGCCACACCAATGCTGACGGCATATAAAAGGTCCCCTGCAGGGGCTGTCCACACTGAAGTCACCTACTCTCCTTCTCCACCCAAGGACAACCTCAACCACCAACACCATGTGTGGCAGCTACTACGGAAACTACTATGGCGGCCTGGGCTATGGCTGCTGTGGCTACAGAGGCCTGGGCTATGGCTACGGTGGCCTTGGCTGTGGCTACAGAGGCCTGGGCTATGGCTA